CCACCCTGACCCTGACCCTGACCCCACCCTGATCCCCTCACCACCTCCACCCTGACCCTGACCCTATCCTCACCCTGACCCCCTCACCAACTCCACCCTGACCCTGACCCTGACTCCACCCTGACCCCATCCTCACCCTGACCCCCTTCCCACCCCAACCCTGACCCTCACCCTGACCCCATCCCAACCCCCACTCTGACCCCCACCCTGACCCTAATCCTAATTTTAAATTGACCCTGGACCTAATCTTGATCCAAATCACTTCTCAAATACCGACTCTAACCCCCAAATAACTCCAACACAAACTCTTTTTATAAACTTAACTTCAACGCAAATCCCAACTAAAATCCAATTAATCTCTAACTCACTCGGACCCTCCACCGCAAGTAAATCCTAACCCCAACCTTAGTCTCAACCCCACCCAGCCCCCTGCAGAGCAGAGGAGGGTTTGCTGCGTCTGGAGAGCTCCAGCGTGGCCGGTGATCTAGCGTCCTGGGCAGTTTCAGGCGCGAAGAGTCTGCCTGTTCGCTGATGGATCCCCGGGTCCCAGCCCCCCATAGGCACTCCGCAGGTCACCCAGGGAACAGGCAGCACAGACATCCATGGCGGGTTGGCGTGAACCCGTGCTCAGCAGCACTCACTCAGGGAGGTCTTGTCCTGTCCCAAGCAAATTTGATTCTCCATGTTTGCTAGACGAGGAGACCGAAGGTCTAGGGGGACCCGGCAGTACCACAGCCAGGCCTTGCAAGGAGGGAGGAGACTTCTGTGCGCTGCGCCGGGCCGGGCTCCGCGGGGGCTATGGGCCCAGACTGTGGAGGTCTGTGACTGGGCTGTCCAGCTGGCCCGTCTCACCGTCCCAGTGAGCCCCAGATGGAAGGGTCTGACAGCTCTGCGTTCCACTTTGTGCATCGGGGCTCAGGACATACTGCAGCCAGACCCGCAGACCGGCCCGCCAAGCTGGGGTGGGGGCTCCCAGAGGCTCAGAGAGGCATGGAGCACCGTGTGAGCTTCTGTCTTCACGTGGCCTTCTCCACGCATCTCTTCTTATAAGGATACCAGCCATATTGAATTAGGGCCCACCCGGGTCCAGGATGACCTCAGTGAACCTGAGTAAGTCTGCCAGGGCCCTATTTCCAAATAAGGTCACCCTCACAGTCCCTGGGGGGGTGAGCCCATAGACATATCTTTTGGGGAATACAATTCAGTCTGTAGCAACCACACAGCTTTTTTTCCTGTTTTAATTAGATGCTATCAGCAAGCAATTATATTTCACATGAAAATCTAGATCTTTGTCCTCCTCCAGCATGAGACCTTGCAGGGTGGAGCGAGAGGTAGCTGTCCCGCCCCAACGCCACGGGGCATTCTCCATGGGCCCACCCCAGCTCAACCCCAGCGCTCCTCTGGTCCGGCCCTGTGGACACTGGATTTGGGACCTCAATCTGACCCAGTGGCTCTTGGCTGGCGGTGATGATGCTTCCAGGGGACAACTGGCAATATCTGAGGACAATTTTGGTCATCACAACTGGGGGCTGGGGCAGTGCTCCTAGCATTAGTCAAAAGAGTCCAGGGATCTGCTAAACATGCTGCAATTCACAGGATGGCCCCCATAACAAGGAGGTCCCAGCCTCAAATGCCAACAGTTCCCAGGTTGGAAACCCTCCCTGCACTTGTCTTGGTATATGGCCCCCCTGTTAAAGATGCCCTGTGTTTGGAGGACCGTGCCCTCCCATCCCACGGGGCTGAGGGCTGACCGTGGGTGTCATGGCAATGGCCACCTGGAGGTGGGAGATTCCTGCTGGGGACAGCCAAGGAGAGGGCAAACGTGCCAGTAGCCTCCACCCCGTCAGGCAGTCAGGCGTCCTGCCCAGACCCAAGGAGGGGGAGAAATCACTCCCATCCGTTCCAGCCCCCGTGGTTTGGGCTGCTTTGTTACGGCAGCATCACCTGTCCCTTGACTCACAGTCCTGAATCTCAGGTTGGCCCCATTCCCTCCTGAGACAAATTTCTGGTTTAAATCAGAGCCTTTCTGAGAAGGGAAATCTCAAGAATGAAAGATAGCAGATCTTGCTGAGCCCAAGCGCACGGTGTCCAGGTTCCAGCCCAAACATCCCAGCGCTCCCGCCAGCAACACGCACTGCTGGGCCCGCCTCCCTGCCTTCCAGAAACGCTCGGGAATCAGGGTCAACGTAGGAAGCTGGGGAAACTTCACAGGCTCAGGCTGAATGTGAGCATTCTTCGCTTATTTTCCCAAACACGTCAAGGGCTCCTCTGCATTTTCTGAAAAATCTGGAAAAAAACCAATCAAAGCCAAACAAAACAAAAAGAAAAATCTCGGAACTCTCTCTAGCTCTGCATTGTACCTGCTACCGTGATCATGGCATGAACTTGCTTTCATTTAATGAGCCATTTCCTCCAGACTTGTTCCCTGAATTCTACATGGGGCCACTGTGATACAGGGCGCGGGGGGGATAGGATTCACGATGGAGGGGGGCCCCTGAGCGAGCGCCGCGATGCCGCATGCGTCACCAGCACCCACGGACGCACGCGCCCCACACCCATGCTGCCCAGGCGGCGCTTTTCACACACTCGGGAGGGCAGGCCGCGGCCCAGGCTCCTGGGACCTCTGGTTACAGTGAAGGATGGAATCTGTCTCGCTCTTTCCGCCCTTCCAAGCCCTACACACATTTGGTGCTCAGCAAATGAGAGGCAGCCAAGCAGACGGACAGAACCTGGCTTGCTGAGAAGTCCGGCTCAGGGCTGTCCGGGCCTCGACTGTCTTAACTACAAAGCAGGAATCAAAATGCCTATCTCATGCAGGTGTTTGTTCGTTCACTTGCTCATTCATTCATTCATGCATTCATTCCCCAAACACTTACAGGTACAGGTGTTCATTTCTTCTTGTTGCTGGAACAAACGATCAGACACTTAGTAGCTTAGAAGGACACACATTTATTATCTTATAGTTCTGCAGGCAGAAGTTTAAAATGGGTCCGCAGGGCTGGTTCCTCCTGGAAGCTCCAGGGGTGAACCCATTTCCTGGTTCTTTTCCAGCTTCTAGAGGCGTCTAGAAGGGGCCGGAGCTCGTGGTCTCTTCCTCCCGTCACAGGCTTCTGATATCACATCTGCTCTAACTCTGACCCCCTTGTCTCTCTCCTTCACTCGGCAGGACCCTCGCTACTACATTTACGCTCCACTCTGGGATAATACCCCATTTCATGGTCCTCGGCCGAACACCATCCGCACGTCCCTGTTGCCATGTCAGGTCACATGTCCTGGTTGGGGCAGTTAGGGCACAGAAATGTGTGTGTATTTTGTCTACTGCAGATGACACAGTGATTCTCAGAGAAGGCAGCAGGGGGCTGTGGACAGCAAATCAGCCAGGACATGATCAGCCCCGAGCTACAGAAGCTTCTCTCAAAGGCCTCAGACAGCAAGGCCACTTAGCATCCCCTCTGCAGGAAGCCTGGCCAAGGGTGGCCCCCGGGTGGGTGTGCTTGGAGGCTCCAGAACAATAGCATGAAGGACCCCGGCTCCTCCCCCTTGGGTTACCATTCCTATGTCCAGCTCCTCGGGTCCCCAGAGCTCTGGGCCTCGCACCCCTGCACCAAAAAGGAAGAAAGGCAGTCGACCTTGGTGTACATTTCTCGCTCATTATCAGGGAGGTGATACTGGCTGGGACTGGCCATGCAGCCTCTCCTCCGGCCAAGGGGGAAGGGAGACAGGTCCATCGTAATAGGCTTAGCAGCATCAGGACACTTCCCTCAGTGCTGCGAAGGGGTCCTCCTTTCCTGGGCCCATCGCTGTTTCTCCACCAGAACAAACCAGGTACGGGGGTGTATTAGCTATCAAGGCTGTGTAACAAATTATACACACAGACCAGCTTAAAATGACACACATTTATTATCTCACAGTTTCCGTGGGCCAGGAGTCCAGGTGCAGGTTGGCTGGGTCCCTTGCTCGGCGTCCAAAGGCCGAGATGAAGGTGTCAGCCGAGGCCCATGGCCCCTCCAAACTCACACAGTTGTCAGCAGAATCCAGTTCCTAGAGGTTGTAGTCCTTGTTTTCTGGTTGCTGTTTGCCTGGGACCACTCTCGGCAACTAGAGGCCCTCCTAGATCCTGTCTTTGGACCCTCTCTCATGACATTGCCTCATCTTGGAGGTCAGCAGAACATCGCTGATACTTTCAAAGGGCTCACCTGATCAGGCCAGGCACACCCAGGATAATCTCCTTTAATTAATTCACAGTCACCTTATTGGGGGTCTAACTAAGGCAGTGACACTCCATCATATTCACAATCAAGGACCGGGGATCATTCCAGGGCTTGGGTCTTGGGGGCTCAGTGGGCCAGGAGGCAGTGGGTGCTGACCGCTGGGTACACGGCGTGCCCGCCCGGAACGCACGCCTCAGCCTTCTCATTGGACAGGCTGCTACCTTCTCATCTTCCAGTCCGGGCTGAGCCCCTACTTCTTCCAGAAAGTCCTTGCTGAGGCCCCAGGCAGGTCAGAAGCCCCCTCGGGCCCTGCCACTCACTTCCTCCTTCTCCTGGTGCCTCCCAGATGGTCACCCAACCTGTACCTTGTCCCCTGTGCTGGGCCCGAGTAGCACCTTGCTCTCTATAGCCAATGGGCACCGCCCACACTTGGCATGAAGCAGGTGCCCAGTAGAAGCTTGCTGAAAAGATGCTGACTTTCCGGGGAGTGACGTGAGGGGCCGGACCTGAAATCTGTCCCTGGGGGAGGGGGGGAAGGGAGGGTCCCCTGGTGGGCGGGCAGACCCGTGGACAGGGTCACTCCAGGCCTCAAAGGCTCCACCTTTGGGCCTCGGCTTGGCGGTCACTCCCAAGAGAGCCCTTCTGAGGCCATCCCCCATGG